ATCTCCTCTTCGCCTCTTCGGCCCACTCGGGTTCGAACTCTATCCACGCCCGCACGACTTCTTCCAGACTGCTTGCAGAGAGGTTGAATGCCCCAGGAATTGCCTCCTCTAGTTCCTGCCGAAATGTCAACGCAAGCATCCGCCGGGCCGCCCTCCCCAACTTTCCAAAGGGCCGCCCACTGTAGTCCCGTTGTCCACCCCAATTTGGATCTCGCGATCTTTGCGCGCCTGCGAGACCGGGTTCTTGTAGTGAACCAACGGCTGGCGCTGCGGCTCGAACTGCGGGTGCTGTTTAATCCCGCGGTGGTGCTCTCTGCACCGGGGCGTACGCTGAGTTCTTGAGTTGAACGGCATCCCAGTCAGCAGCAGTCACCTCGTCTATGATGATTCCCTCCACGACGGCGTCGCGGCCGCGTGGCTTCCCAGACGTGATCCAGCGGCTGCGCCATTTCAACTCAGTATTGTTGGCTCGCGACCTTGAGTGCAGCACTAACCGATACTTTCGTGGCTTCTGTCTCTCGATGCTGAGCTTGTCGCGCAGCGTGTATCCGTCGGGAACCAACTGCTGCAGGCAGGAGACCCTCTCTTGGTCGAGTGCCATTTGGTTGCCGGTCTTCACAACAACATGTGTACACCTACCGGCTACCGGCGGCTGTGTGCGACGCGGCCCAAGCGGTGGTTTGGCCGCGATTTTTTTGAAATTTGAAACTTGGTTTATTTCTGCTAGGTAGGGCCTGGCAAAAACGAGTTCTGAACCAGGTGATTTAGAACCAGTTTGTTTCAAGGATTCCAAAAATATATATTTAATTAAGGAGAAATAAATACACGCACAGAAAGACTACCCATTCGAGATATACCCACAGTCGAACGGGATGTGGTGGAGTCTTTTCAGTAAGTGGAGGAAAACCGGCTGGGTACTGGACTTATTTCGAGTCTTGATATGTCTATACACTGATGATTTATCAGTGATGCCAGCTGGTGCTAAGTACAAAAACATCTGTATATTGTAGGTAAATCTACATTTTACATTACATCCCCTGTGGTTCTCTGCTGGGTCAACGACAAAATATCGGGGAGAATCCNTCTTCTACTGGGTCAACGACAAAATATCGGAGAGAATCCCTCCGTAGTGTCGTGTACTGTAAGATGTAACCNGGGCCTGGCAAAAACGAGTTCTGAACCAGGTGATTTAGAACCAGTTTGTTTCAAGGATTCCAAAAATATATATTTAATTAAGGAGAAATAAATACACGCACAGAAAGACTACCCATTCGAGATATACCCACAGTCGAACGGGATGTGGTGGAGTCTTTTCAGTAAGTGGAGGAAAACCGGCTGGGTACTGGAAACTTATTTCGAGTCTTTATGAGTCTATACGCTGATGATTTATCAGTGATGCCAGCTGGTGCTAAGTACAAAAACATCTGTATAGATAGGTAAATCTACATTTTACAATACATCCCCTGTAGTTCTCTTCTACTGGGTCAACGACAAAATATCGGAGAGAATCCCTCCGTAGTGTCGTGTACTGTAAGATGTAACCTTCACAGGGGACACGGTGCAGTGTCTATTGACAGCTTGCTGGTTTTAGGAATTTAAGGAGAAATATATAATATTGATGTAAAAATCATGGAAGATGGAAAGAAGGCTACAGCAGCAGTACATCACTCGTTTTTCAAACCACCTATATATATATATTTTTTTTTTTGAATTTCACGGGCAGTAGTAGGTGTTTTTTCACAGCGGTGGTGGGGGCACGACAAATCATAAATTACCGGTTCCGCCGCGTTTTTGGTGAAACGGCATATTCGGCATAACTCGTCACCAAGGTGTCTGTGAAAGCTAAAAGTGGGTTCATTCGAAAGCCCTGGTTCATAGCTTTCGATTGGTGGATATTTTGTTGGGTAAATATCCAGGCCCTAGAGAGAAATTTATCAAGTGGCCTGTGGGCGGGTCCAGGAAAACTACCACTTTACCGCCAAAGAAAAAAACCGGAGGTAAAAAAAAAACGGTCACCTGGTTGCCGAGTTCACGAAGTGAATTGGCTTGTTTTACAACGTCTTTGCCAAGCGACGAAAACCCAATCCCGATGGCAAACACCGGGGGGGGCGGCTTGTTTTACAACGTCGTTGCCAAGCGACGAAAACCCAACCCCGATGGCAAANCTGTATTTACGTATGTATTGTGTAGCGCCATATAGATATAGTATGCCGACCGGCGTACATCGACCGCAGGATACTGTGCTCACTGGACCTCTGGTCCGGTGAGCAACTTCCTCCTCCCAAGTTCGCATTTTTGAACAAAATGATACTGCTTTTAGACCAAATTACTTTTGTTTTGCTGTGTTGCCGGCCACGAAGATAGATATATATATATCTAAAAAAAATTACTGCAGTACCGGCCCGCTGTTCAATAAAACATCAATTCCTTGGTCGAGCCTCAGTTTCTTATTTCGTCGCCAACATCGTCAAGTATGTACAACTGCTGTGACCATGTATAGTTATCATTACCCGAAACCCGACACAGCCGGAAATACTCTTCTTGCTGTGTGGCCATTTACCTCCTGTAGACTATGCATATTATGATAACCCAGGCCAATTAATTGCCCAGGCTAATCACGGTACTTCTCCCTTCTTCCCCTCGCTCCTCGACAAGCTTTTGCTTAGACATGGGTTGTAG